TCCTGCTCCACATGTGCTATTAATCATGTTATAAATGATCGAGGCTGTTGGTTTTCCCGTTTGAATTGTTTCACATTTTTGTCATGTCAGATCGTTTTACAGCTGAATATAGGGTTTTGCTCATTGTTGAAGGCAGTATGGTAACCTAAAGTTGCTAACAACCACATTATTTTGACTTTTGTGGATAGTGGTCTCATTGGCAATCATCCCACATCTCCTTATTTTTAAATTACTGACACAGAACGTTCTTACTTATTTATAAATTTTAGTCATCTCAATCTCAATTACAATGTTTACAAGGTACCGGTACTACATAGTGTTACAGGTTCTCACTCATCTACTGTAGAAAAATATTATTATTTTGATCTAGGCAACTTATTGTATCACAATAATATGCACAAACCCAAAAACAAAGCCATTGACATCTTGTAAAGTTAATGTTAGCCGTCAGTATGGAATTATGATTTAATGCACTGAAATATGAGGAATTTGAAGAAGGAAATTAAGGAGATTAACTATCAACTATTTTATTTCCTGACTATTTAATAATAGAGAATGATTTACAGTCATTTCAAAAAACTCATTATTAGAAAAACTCAATGGATCGTTCATAATATTGGTATAAACAATGTGAGGGTGAGGTCTACATTGAGACACCAACTTAATAACTTTCTGAACTAGAGGGGACATCTGAAGTCAGCATACCATCTTTACCAAAATACAAGTTTCAATACCATATGTGCAGCTCCAAATTATTACCCTTTAATATTGACAAGTTGTGAATAGATTAAAATAGAGACTATCAAAATCTACAATCAACTCAACTCGTCCGAAGATAGAAAATACAGGTATATAGATAAAAACTACTGACGAGGTACCTGACTTTGTTCAAAATTATTATTATAATAATTTTATTTCCAAACTGTACCCATATCGGTCAAGCAAATTCACAAAATATAACAGTATTAATACAACAGTCAAGAATTACAAGTATAAACATAAAAAAATAACATAGTTATGATAATGTAACTTTTGATGGACATGGACCTCACTTTCACAACTCTAAAGGTTGCTTTATAAAGTTACCAGCTACTGCTAAAACTGTTTATTATTATCCCCTTTTCTTATTACTATCAATGGAAGTATACAAGAGGCAATAGAATTTGCCCTGATGATGTACTTAAACTCGATAATATGGACAATATGGTTATTACAGGTGACAATGACATCAATACTAGCTATTGTAGAACAATGCTAAATTAACTCACAGAAAGAAGTAACTGAAAGAAAGCTCAAGAGTTTTAAAATACTGTTTTTTAGAAGAAAAAAAAGTGAATTTTACTCTTATATTAGCCAATATACTTCAGAATAAATTTCATACAACAGTATTGTTGGAAATTATGTTTACCATTCCCAGTTTTAATCCCATCTCAATATTTAATTAAAAAGTTAAATTCATTATATGTAGCTCGGATGTTTTAGTTTCTCTCTGTGAATGACAACCAATCCATAGTTTTCCACTGGTATCTATGTCTAGTGACCATGGCAACAAAATACCTTGTCTTCTCAAAATTTTACTTGAAAGTAGATCACCCTCCTCAGACAAGACATGTAAAGTATGGTTAAAATGGTCAGTCACTATTATTTGACCCACTTTTGTTGTAACAATGTCTGAAGGGTCAAATAGTTTGTAATTTGAATTGACGTTAGGATGACCCTCATAAATCCATCTAACCTGCCCCTCCCTATTTAGGGCAATCACCCTCCCATCATACATAGACCTCCTGTCTATCACTAGTATTTCATTGTTTATATTTGATGTGATTCTGTAAGGAAGAGTAAATAGTCTCTGTTTATATGCATCATTCTCTAAAGATTGTTTTTGTTTCTTGTCTGTTCCAAATATCATTAATTTTGTTTCACTTTCATTTCCAAATTCAGACAAACTCTTAATAGTGCTATAGTCCTCGACACCAAGTATAATCTCTTTGTTTTTAGTCACATGAATACAATGAATGAATGTTTGTTGTGGTGTTACTGACAGAAAGGGTTTGGTTCCTTCTTCTGTTAACAGATGTAAAGCATCATGATCATGATTAATCACAGTTAATAGAATGTCTTCACTTGGTGTCATTGACATGTCCCTAACTCTAATTGATAAATCTTTTGAGGTTAAAATGTTGCCATTTATTTGCAATATACACAAACTTTCAGATGGATATTCTGTAATCAATGCTTTCTTATGATTTAATGTAACTATTTTTTTTATAGAAGTAAAGTTTGTTTTATAACTCATCATTAATTTAATATCTATATTTGATTGCTTTTTTCTTTCTTTGACTTGAATTCCGAATGATGTTGCAGTTTCGATTGTCTTCTTTGGAACAAGATTTTCAATCTGTTGCAACAATTTGCGGAAGTGAAAGTGAGGTAGACTACTTAAACTTTCTAAGAGTACTGTAGAAATATTAACTTCATTATTTCCTTCTTTGGCTGCTTCTAGTTTACTTTTCAAAGCTTCTAGAATTTGTTTAAAATGACTTAAGTTTGATTTATAATCTTCGAAATTTGTCCGAAGTTTAATCTGTTCTGCTTCCATATTCTCACGTAACTTAGTGTAATTAGTAATAGTCTTCTTACTATTTTCTCTTTGCTCGACTTCCTCCAAAATGTTTTGGAATATTAAGCTATTTTCAAATTCTTGCTTGAATATTTGTGTTAACACAAGGCTAGTGAATGCCAAGTCTTTAGAAAGTCTTCCCTTTAAAATTAAGGTTTGATGTTCAAGAATTAGCACTTGGTGATATTTATGGGCTGAAATGTACGCTGAACATATAGGTTTCATTAAACAGGTGTAACAGAATTTGAATTTCTTATTGGGAATTTCACAAGCACATCTTTCAGTAGTAGAAAATGATTTTATGTTGTTGATACTATGAAATAGTCGTAGATGAATAATGCTGCATTTAAAACACATAACTGTCTGACATTTAGAACATCTATACTGAGTCATCATATATGTCAGACATAATCCACATTTCCTGTCTGCGAAACCTTGATACTCAGATTCTGCTGTCTGCTGTACAAGTTTTGGTGGGCGAAATCCAATTTCTGTGATATTGTGAGTAGATGTTTGTTGATGAATTCTGCTACATTTGTTGCATGTATACACCTGACACTGGTCACATTTATAATAAACATCTTTGTCAATCTTACAAATTTCACACTTCCTGAGTACTTGTACTTGTGCTTGACATAGCATAGGTTTTGAGGAATTGGATCCCATGTCCGAAGTCAAACTAAAGTCGACTTAAATAAAAATCAAGTTTGAAATAAAACAAATATTACAATGAATAGCTAAGCAATGATGTAGTCTATACAGCTGTATAATTTGACTGTGTTTTAAAAAAATTCATTGTACTAAATATACCAAAAAGTTTGTTTTTTAAAGATAACCAGAGATTATATTCAGGTACAACATGATTTATCTTTTAAAAGATAAAGGAATTAATAGTCTTTCTTGTGTTAAATAGTACCTTATATCTCTGCTTACAATATAATTTATCATTCTGTTATCAATGTTAATGAATATTTTAGTTACTATAACCTTTTGGATGACTATAAAATTTGGCAGTCTTTATAAAATGTATCCTATGGTGTGTTGTTATTTGCTTTGTCAAGAGACTCTATGGTTTCACTTTTTGATTAAGTTGGCAATCTTTCAAGAATGTTTTATACAGTTATCTTTAGAAATAAATAAAGGTTGAAAGTTATTTGTTGGAATTTGGTCTCCCTTGTTTTTGAAAAAAAGTCCTGAAGGAGCAAAAGCAGTATTTTATTAGTTTCTGGTAATTTAGATTTTAATGCCGATTTTATGCCCTGCCTTTAATAGTAGGGGGCATTATGTATTGGATCTGTGCATCCATCCATCTGTCCTGTATTAGCTATATATATAGGTTGACGTATTGGTTAAGAGCAGATTAATATAAAGTTGTGGTAATTTAGCTTTAAACTTGTTTATTGTGAAGGTTTCCACTGAGCATTACATCATGATACAAGATGAGTTTGATATAAATCAGTAAAAATACAAAATGAAGGTCCACTTTTTTTAGTAAATTGTAGAAATTCCATATTAGTTCTTGTCTCTTGAATAATACCTTTATCTCTTATCAGATTATCTTCAAGTTTGTATGAAGGTTTTCCACTCATCAAAACTTCAATTGAGTTTGATTATCACAAAATCTGAAATAAGAGAATATTTTTTCAAGATTACTTGTAAATACATCCGATACTAATTAAATGGGGCCTCAAAAATGTGAACTGGCTCACGAAAGGTTTTTCGATATTTACATGTGAAGATTCCTTGACCCTGTAGGTTTTTAAAAATTTTCCCTTTCCTTTCTTGTTATGAGATCGGAAGATAATTTATGTATTGTTAAAGATTCTTACGGCATTGTTACAGCATTTCTATAATGTAAATTGTCTAATCACTATTTTCTCAAAATTTGCTTTGATTTTACACTGACTTAGTGATAATTTTCCATCTCAAGCTACTCAAACTGGGGGTCAAGTGAGAAGACATAATTTCCTTAACCAACGTTATTGTTGTTATCTTGGAAAATAGCGATAAATTATAGACAATCTATGATCTTTTAACTCATTGAAGTTTCTCAGCTTTATCTCATTTCAAGGTCTTCACCCTTCCATGAGTTTGTAGCCCAAAGTTTCACTTGTTTTCAGAAGTATTGATAATCTACAATACTTACTCTTATGCCATCAGTCCCATTGGGGTACAGGTATAACAGTGCATTATTTCAATAAACATTATATCACCAAATTGGATTGGTTAGGTATCTGGATGGTAAAGAAAGCATCGCATAACTAACTCTTAAAAGAAATTTGCATAACTTTATGGACCTTTGAATAAAGATGAACTTTACTTTTGACAGATTTTATAGAATGTTATCTAATTCTACTTCTACTTCTCAATTTATTTTTAGACAAATATTGGAACAATAAAATGTATTGCATGGAAGGGAGATAATATAGTATTTGGTGACCAAGATGGACAAGTGTCAGTGTGGGACTTGAAGCTGAAAACACAGAGGTAACTGTCTTGAACAGAATAATATCACAAAACAAGAAAACATTAAAATTTATTCAAATTGTGGGACTGGTCTGTTGTTATTGAAGGTTTCACACTTCACAGCATATTTTTTTCCTAAAATTTATGGTGCTTTTGTTATTGGTTCTTTTTAGAAATCAAGTTTTACAGCATGCAGTTGATATTGAATTTGCAATTTTTAATTTCTGTATATAACTTGTCCCCCATACCACTTTTATCAAGTTTTATGTAGAGGTCCCTGATCTTTTCTTGTATTATATTGCAATGCAATCAAAATTGTCTGTACATTAAATTTCATACTAAATGTATTATATATACATATGAACTTGTGCATAATAAATCAGTTTAATTTCCATTAAAATGATACAATTCAATTACTTTCTAGATCTTTTAATTTTTCTGTGTGCTTTAATGATGAGAAAAAAGTATATTTTCATTTTCAGAACCATTCATACCAGAAGGGGATGGATAAAAAGAATAAGATTTGCACCAGGAAGAGGAAACACAAAATTTGGTGTTCTTTACTTGGATGGTATGGATATATTTGAATTAAAGGAAGGAAAGGTAAGTACAAACAATACATTGTTGTGAATAGATATGAATAAACTTAGATGTGGGGTATACGTCAATGAGACATCAACCCAATGACAAAAATAACCAAAAGACATCAAGAGGCAACATACAGTCTTTAACAATAGACAGGTGTCTTATACAATATGTCAATGAATAACAAAGATATACATGTATTAGTAAAGAATTGCCATCACACTTAACTCTCCAAATAAAGAAAAACAGTAAGAAATGACAAACAACCACTACTGACGAGGTACATGACTTGGGTAAGGCACATGACAATGTGGCAGGTTAACAAATTTTTGTTTTGAGATCTCAACCCTCCCCCTCTTTAATCTTTATCAGTAGAGTAACAAAACATACATACAATAAAAACACTTTACTTTAAGAATTGTTTGACAAATGCATCAATTGCACTGTAATATTATTTCTAGATGTAAGATTTAGTTTTGGTTGAATTGTTGGGTTGCTGTCTCATTGATTATACTCCATTTCAGGAATTTTTCTTATTTATGTTTTTCTTTCATTGTTACAGCTAGAGATGCTGAGTTCGTTGAAAAGTCCCAAAGAAATAGCAAAGATAGTAGACATTGATTGGGCGGGATCAGACAGACCTGTTATAGCTACAAATGATGGTTGTGTAATAGTGTTTGACATCTTACTCAAATTGTCTCATTGCAAGATAGAAGATCTCGAACTTCCAGGTAAACAATTTAGCAATATAGAAATTAAAAGAAAGTTTGAGGCAGATATTCATTAAACTTGGGATGTCCTTAAATTTAAGCAGTTAGCACAAGCTTGTTACCAGTCTTACTATACTGAATGGAAGAAAATTAAGAGTCATTTTTTTTGTCTCAAGAATCTATATCTAAAAATAATAAAACTGACAATAATGCAAATCATCCATCAATAACAAGTATATTAAGCTTAAATTATTCTCAGAAATTAGTTTTACCTTGACTGATCATTCAGAAAAATAAATTGGGCAACAGAGTAAATCACATTACAAATACAATGAAAAACATTGCCATGAATGTTGGGTTTTTTAACTGCCAAAAAAACTTGGTGCCACGATTTCCTTGCAGGCTGAGACCCAGTTGAAATTTAACAAAAGAAATGGAAGTCTTTGTTAGAGAAGGTAAAAAAGGCCAAGATGGTATATTTGAATTGTTTACATCTGTTTCTATGGGCTTTAAAAGTTTAATGTAGGTGCATAATTTAGGTTTTTATGCATCTTATATACATATTTTTTACTTGAATAATAGTATGGAGCTTCGAGATATTTGGAAACTTTTAAATTAAAGACAAATTTTCACACAACAGTCCATTGTGGTAGGTGCAAATACATTTGGATCTTTTTTGTGCATAAGCATAAATTCCACAGAAAGATAAAAGATTTATCTTTTTAAAGCATTAACTGGCATCTCTGCCCCCGGCGACAGATTTTGGGAAAAACCCTAAAAAATAGGCACTTAATTCATAGAAAAGAGAAAATAGAGTTCATTTTTAGCTCACCTGGCCCATAGGGCCAAGTGAGCTTTTCTCATCACTTGGCGTCCATCGTCCGTCGTCCGGTGGGACTTCTTCTAGAGAACCACTGAATGGAATGAAACCAAACATGGCATGAATGTTCCTTATGAGGTGCTGACCAAGTGTTGTTACTTTGTAGCGGATCCATCATCCAAGATGGCCGCCAGCGGGGGACTTAGTTTAACATAGGACCCTATGGGAAATACATACAAATGTCTTCTTTTAGAGAACCACTGAATGGAATGAAACCAAACATGGTATGAATGTTCCTTATGAGGTGCTGACCGAGTGTTGTTACTTTGAAGCCAATCCATAATCCAAAATGGCCGCCAGTAGGGGACTTAGTTTAACATGGGACCCTATGGGAAATACATACAAATGTCTTCTTTTAGAGAACCACTGAATGGAATGAAACCAAACATGGCATGAATGTTCCTTATGAGGTGCTGACCAAGTGTTGTTACTATGAACCCGATCCATAATCCAAGATGGCCGCCAGCAGGGGACTTAGTTTAACATTGGACCCTATGGGAAATACAAACAAATGTCTTCTTTTAGAGAACCACTGAATGGAATGAAACCAAACATGGCATGAATGTTCCTTATGAGGTGCTGACTGAGTGTTGTTACTTTGAAGCCGATCCATAATCCAAGATGGCCGCCAGCAGGGGACTTAGTTTAACATGGGACCCTATGAGAAATACATACAAATGTCTTCTTTTAGAGAACCACTGAATGGAATGAAACCAAACATGGTATGAATGTTCCTTATGAGGTGCTGACCGAGTGTTGTTACTTTGAAGCTGATCCATAATCCAAGATGGCCGCCAGTAGGGGACTTAGTTTAACATGGGACCCTATGGGAAATACATACAAATGTCTTCTTTTAGAGAACCACTGAATAGAATGAAACCAAACATGGCAAGAATGTTCCTTATGAGGTGCTGACCAAGTGTTGTTACTTTGAAGCTGATCCATCATCCAAGATGGCCGCCAGCGGGGGACTTAGTTTAACATAGGAGCCTATGGGAAATACATACAAATGTCTTCTTTTAGAGAACCACTGAATGCAATGAAACCAAACATGGCATGAATGTTCCTTATGAGGTGCTGACCAAGTGTTGTTACTATGAAGCCGATCCATAATCTAAGATGGCCGCCAGCGGAGGACTTAGTTTAACATAGGACCCTATGAGAAATACGTACAAATGTTTTCTTTTAGAGAACCATTGAATGGAATGAAACCAAACATGGCATGCATGTTCCTTTTGAGGTGCTGACCATTACTTTGAAGCTGATCCTTCATCCATGATGGCTGCCAGATGGGGACAATATTTAACAAAGGACCCTATGGACAATACATACAAATGTCTTCTTTTAGAGAACCACATACTGAATGATTTGAAACCAAACATGGCATGAATATTCCTTATGAGGTGCTGACTAAGTTTTGTTACTTTGAAGCTGATCCTTCATCCATGATGGCCGCCAATGGGGGGACTTCCTTTAACATAAGACCCTATGGGAAATACATACAAATGCTTCTTCTAGAGGTGCACTGAATGGAATGAAACCAAAACATGGCATAAATGTTTCATATGAGGTGCTGATTAAGTGTTGCTACTTTGTTGCCGATTTACTGTTCAAGATGGCCACCAGGATTTTTTATTAAATTACAGGACCAATATTAAACCAAATTTGGCCTCACTCATTATTAGGGTATCTGTTTTGATTTTAATCTATTTTTACATGATTTCCAAAACCAAAGTAGAATCAGGTGAGCGACACAGGCTCTTTAGAGCCTCTAGTATTATGTTCTGGCGTGTTTGAGTTGACTATTTTGTATTGAAAACATATAAATCAAAAATATTTGATACATACAGTACAAAAAAAAATGAAATATATGGTTCAATTGAAATACCTTTCTGATAAGTCATAACAATATTATAGAGTAGGTGTGTTTGAATATTAAATTTTTACTTAAAGTATTTGATTACAGACTTTACTTGGAATCTTTTTTGTGCATAACTTCAAAAGATTTTTTTTTTGTGTTATCTAGGGTTAAGTCTTCATCCTCTCAAAAAGTGTCGTCTGCCCTTCCATGTAATATTTAATTAGAATTTTTGTTAATGTAGAACTTTCGTAATTTCCCCTTGACAACGGATCAAACAATAGTTTAAAGTTGACTGAAGGCATAAAAGTACATCAAATGATGCTTAAAAGGTAGTAGATACATTTGTCTTTTAAAATACAACTGTCATATAAGGATCGTAATGATACTATGTTGATAAATTTATCGGTTTTCAAGAGATAAAATGACAACGCTTCATTCCTATAATACCTTCCATTATTACGATTGAAAAAATTGGTTGGGTAATGTGGAGATAAGTAGAATCCTGACTACTTGTATACAGTAGTAACACAAGTATTCTGAGAGAAAATTTTAATTTAATCTAAATTAAAACATTTGATTTTGTTGACAAGTAAACACATAGCTTCAATTATTCTTTAACAAGAAAATAAATAAAAGAACCTAACTAATAAATGCCAAAGAAAATGTTCTAACATGCAGAACCACATAAACTGCATGGCATGCCACAAAATTGATACTTTCATTTTCAGATAACCTGTTTTCACCACACATCCTACCTTCCAAGGGAGCACTGTTGATGAAGTATTTTCTCCATCACCAACCGTGGAGTGATAAATACACATTTAAGATAGAGGCTGGAGGACTTAGAGATGATGATGCTAAACTTGTAGAGGATATAAACAGACAGTTCAGTTTGATAGATAGGTATAAATGGAATACACTAATACAAATTTATTTAAAGATTTATTTCTTTTCACATATAGTGCATTATTTTGCTACATGCTGTTTGTAAAAGTCAAGCTTTCACAGGATAATTGCACTTTTGAAATTTTTTTTGAAGACTTTTCAAATAAATTACCGGTATGTGTGGCAGTTGTTTCTGTTGATCAGTCCTTAGAAACAAGAGGCCATAGTTTCCTATGGACACATATTTTTTTTTATTGGTGGATTTTCTCACTCAATATAAATAAAAGGATAATTATATTTGGTTGTTGTATCATTGCAAGTTATATATGTCTGTCAATCCTTTACTCAGATACTATAGGTCATCTATATTTTGAGTATAGAATGATACTATCAAACTATATAAGGTGTGCATTTCCGTCTGGCAGGGTTCATCTGACTTTGATCTCATTTTCAGGGTATATTGGTCAACGTTAAGTTTATGAGGTACCTGTAGTAAAGTAAATCATGATCAGTTTACTGGTTATTGGCAGTTTAATTAATTCATTTTCCTGGTCATGAGAAGTACCACCAAATTTTATTGGCTTTATTTCAGAGATTTGGCTGATTATTTACCAGTATGTAAATTTGGTGTAGCAGAGAGATGTCTTCTTGTAGCAAGGTATGTAGAAGTTTATGTTAACACGTCCCGAAAATTATAAAATTATGACTTTTATTTAACCCTTAACCCTTTAAATTTTTATTGTTCCTTGCGCGACGTAGTGCCAGGTACATTGAAATACTGGGCAACCGTCAGTCCATCTGTCCATCTATCCGTGTGTCTGTCCTTCCAGTCTTGTTAGCACTCTCACGTGTACAACTCTTGCCAGATTTATATAAAACTTAGGTTTATATCAGCAATGTCTCGGACAAGTTTGAAAGTCAGTGCCAATCAACTATTTTTAAAAGAGTTATGCCCCTTGAAAATATTAATTATATGGAAAATTTCATTGTTAGCACTCTCATGTGTACAATTCTTACCAGATTTTTATGAAACTTATATCAGCAATGTCTTGGACAAGTTGGAAAATCCTATCAACTGTTTTTAAAAGTTATCCCCCTTGAAAATATTAATTATATGGAAAATTGCTTTGTAAGGCCTCTCGTGTACAATTTTTGCAAGATTTTGATCCAATTTATATGAAAACTTAATATAAGCATTGTCTATGACAATTTCGAAAATCAGTGCTGATCAAATATTTTTAAAAGAGTTATGCCCCTTGGAAATATTAGTTATATTGGAAATTGCAATGTATTTGCTCTCAAGCCTTCATTTCTCTAAGATATTTGTAAAAAGTATTAAAGAACAAAAAAAAAAAAAAGAAGCTTTTTTTTAGTTATTGCCCTTGGATAGATAAAATATGTGCAACGTGGGAGACAATGGAACTCTGTTCTTTTATCATTATTTATTTAATGGGTTGGAACCTGAAGAGTCATATTTCTTGACAGAAGAGGTTTATATAGCTTTTGACATTGTAGTTATATAATGAAAACATTTTAATATTGCAGAACCAATAGTGAAACTAGTTCCTTTTCAGCCAATTTTAAAATAAGTCATTTACTTCCCTTTGTATGGCAGATGTGTGTGATGAGTTACATATTAATTCTTCTTCTTTTGCAAATTACAAAACTGTGTTTTTCTACAAGAAGTGTAATTTTGCAACTGTCCTTAGATTATTAAAGTTAGTTTGTGTCATTAGAACTCATGCCCTTTTAAGAAAAAATTGGGACTCCAACATGGGTTTTACTTTATTATTTACTTTTAGTGTATAACTTGGCAACCTCCTTCAGCTTAGTCAAGGGAATCACTGCCCAAATTTGTTTGGTATGGAGCTCTTAAAATTGGTGTTGTAAGAGGATGAAAAAAAACAGACTTGTTAACTCATCCCTCTAGGTTGTAATCCATGTCATCACATTTGTTAAGTGCATATGAAGCTTGAAATAGAAATATAAAATATGGGTCTACGGACACTACAGGTCTACGCACAAAATTTTCTTCAAAACTGACTATTTCTGTGGAAAGACCCATTTGTATTTGTTCTGATTATTAGTCCCCTACCGACGAAGTCGAAGGGGATAAGGTTTGCACTCAGTCAGTCAGTCAGTCAGTCAGTCAGTCATGACAAGTTACAGATCAAGTTCGAATTTTGTTCCTGTCTGATGACTGTGCAGAGTTATGGTCCTTGGACTTAGAAAATTCACTCAAATGACCAGTGCAACTTTGTGCACTAGCTAAAGTGTTTAGCCGTCATGATAAACATATATTGTTTCTTTTATAACTATAGGTTGTTTGGTGATGAATCAGATGTTTTATTCTGGACAGTTGCTATGAACTATCTTTGTAAAGAGAAGATATCACCCATAAAGGTTTGTAGATAACTTGAAAGAGAAGCAATGTAGAAAACATATACTTAAAGACAAGAATCATAAACTGTGAATGTGTTTAATACCCTGCTTACGTTTGTAATCAAGAACCCATAAAGGGACATGATGCAGGAGACTACAGGGCTATGCATGGGAAGGGTTTATCGTCAAAGTAATGCATGTTTTCGTTATTAAGTCTCCCAAACTGGGAAGACTTATTGGTTTTGCTCAGTTCTTATTATTATTATTCTTCTTCTTCTTCTTCTTCCGCCACTTTTAAATTTGAACTTGTCCACACACCCGTTCTCCAAAACCGCTTGTCAGATTAACTTAGGGTTTCACAATATATTAGACTAACATGTCTAGTGGTGCAATCAGGGTTTTGTTTGTGCATTGGGGTTTATAAAGGGGTACTTTGAGGGGCAAAAAGAAAGGAGGGTTTTACTATAGAACCCTATGGGATTTTATTTTTTTAAATTTTCAAATGATTATAGATTGAAAACCGTTTGTGATAGACACAATCTTTTTAATTGAAAATGTTCTAAATGATAAAGCACATTAAATGAAATACAGGGTTAGTCCCCAGGGGTCACCCCCACTCCCTGCCATTTAAGAAAGTTCTAATAACTTGTAAGTGGTCAAGATCCCCACCCCTAAACCATATATATTCTGGTTTGTCATGCTAAGATGGTTTGAATGATATACAGGGTTAGTCCCCAGGGGTCATCCCGACCCCCCCTGCCATTTAAGAAAGTTCTAATAACTTGTAAGTGGTCAAGATCCCCACCCCTAAACCATATATATTCTGATTTGTCATGCTAAGATGGTTTGATTGATATACAGGGTTAGTCCCCAGGGGTCACCCCCACCCCCTGCCATTTGAGAAAATTCTAATATCTTGTAAATGGTAGAGATCCCCACCCCTAAACCATATACATTCTGGTTTGTCATGATAAAGCACATCAAATGAAATACAGAGTTAGTCCCGAGGGGTCACCCCCACCCCCTGCCATTTAAGAAAGTTCTAATATCTTGTAAGTGGTCAAGATCCCCACCCCTAAACCATATATATTCTGGTTTGTCATGCGAAGATGGTTTGAATGATATACAGGGTTAGTCCCTAGGGGTCACCCAACCCCCTGCTATTTAAGAAAGTTCTTATATCTTGTAAATGGTCAAGATCCCCACCCCTAAACCATATATATTCTGGTTTGTCATACCAAGATGGTTTGAATGATATACAGGGTTAGTCCCCAGGGGTCATCCCGACCCCCTGTCATTTGAGAAAGTTCTAATATCTTGTAAATGGTAGAGATCCCCACCCATAACCATATATATTCCTGTTAATCATGTCTGGAACATTTGAATGACGTATACGGTCAGTCCCCAGGGGTTCCCCCACCCCCATTGTTCTTGTATCTTGTAAATGGTCGAGATCCCCACCCCTAAACCATATATATTCTGGTTTGTCATGCCAAGATGATTTGAATGATATACAGGGTTAGTCCCCAGGCATCACTAATGCATATAACTTTACTGGACCAAACCAATTTTCACAGGACTTTGTCCAATGTCAGGCGACCCTGGGAATTACGAATTATGGGAGCTTCGTTTGGGAGACTTTGTAACAGCATCCTGTTACAATCATTTCTTGTTTTTTAACAACTAGTTACATTGCAGGTTATAATATTGTATGTCTACAATGTGTTTATATTTTAAAGATGGACTCAAAATAATTACAAATTTAGAATATAGAATTGTACACAAGATTTGCACATGAATACAAAATTTTTACATAAACTGAAGTAATAACCATAATTAGCATTAGGTCATTAACCGAAAAAAGTTCAGTTTTTAAAACTGATCATCGAGATTCAAGATTCTTTATTTCTTATATAACCAAGTTAATGGTTCAAAGAAATATTTGAATTATCTCTCTTAACATATGTTAAAATGGATCAATTATGTGAGACTTTACAATGCCAAAACATTAAATGACCAGACTTGTCATTTTTTTATATGCCAGTCAAAATTTTGACGGGACGTATTATGGTATACAAATGTCCGGCGTCCGTCTGTCCATCTGTCCGCGTAAACATGTCACACCGTAACTTGAGAACAACTTATCCAAATTTCATGAAACTTAACATAGTTGTTTCTTATGATGGTCAAATGATCTGTATACTTTTTTGGTGAAAATAAGATTAAAACTTTTTGAGGGACTTTGTAACTAAAACAGGGGGGGGGTTCACAAAACCGTATCTCAAAAACGATTTATGATTATTGCTTAAAACTTTGCACACTTCTTAGTTATATTAATCTAAAGATCTGTATATTTTTTGGTGATGATTCAAAATTTTATCTTAGATTTATTGAGTTTTTTGTATAAAAAAGGGGGTGTATTCACATGTGGCGCCGTATCTCAAAAAAGATTTATGATTATTGCTTAAAACTTTACACACTTCTTAGTTATATTAATCTAAAGATCTGTATACTTTTTGGTGATGATTCAAAATTTTGTTTTTAGAGTTATTGAGTTTTTTGTAAAAAAAGGGGGGTTTTCTCATGTCGAGCCATATCTCAAAAACGGTTTATGATTATTGCTTAGAATTTTACACACTTCTTAGTTATATTAATCTAAAGATCTGTATACTTTTTGGTGATGATTCAAAATTTTATTTAAGAGTTAGTGAGTTATTTGTAAAAAGGTTGGGTTTTCATATGTCGCGCCGTATCTCAGAAACTATTTATGATTATTGCATAAAACTTCACACACAAGACAACAGGCGTATCATGCGCTCGTGGCGCAGCTGTTTATTTACATTTATGGGGGGATTTCACCAATGAGAGTGTTAACCTAACTCTTTAAATACACAATCATATAAATTGAATGCATCAAAACAGGCCATCAAAGAAGTCAACATACATTTAAGCACATACATGCTCATTCAAACCATGAGATAATAGATAAAAAAGACTTAAGACATGTATAACAGATACAGGTTCTCTTGCCATTAAAATCACTCACTTAGATTTGAGAAATTACTTGTAAAATATATCAAATGATAGGTAAAGATTTTTTTCTCAGAATAGCAAACTTCAAAGTTAAGTATTGGCATTGACAATTTCATTTCATTAAAAATGTCTCATTGAAATAGCTAAGGGTTGCACTTCTGTTAATATAGACAATGCAATTTCCCATAGGAACTCCTTTTACGACTAAAACTGTGTCACTTTTACTATAAAGTTTCGTAAAAAATTATATCCTAGAATGGAAAGTTCATATGTACTACTATTTTTTTTAAAGGTCAAAACATAGTGCTGTGCGGCATATTTTCAACATTATATGCCTTGAATTTCTAAGAGTTTAAACTTGTACTAAAATTCTGTACTAGCCCTCCCTTCACTTTGGGTTTTCCTCAGAATTCAATTTGGCCACTATCCATGTGCATTTATACTGGTAAAACTCCCAAGTTGTGACTCTATAAGATGAAACATAGAGGTCAGTAGGTAAACAAAACTAAATATCTATGAATATTATTTATCTCCCAAAAAGAGGCATGGTTTGTGAAACAGCTGTATTTACATAGTGCAACCTAAAAAGATATCGAAATATAATTTTTGCTTATATCTCAAAGCTTTGAAAGAATTTGTGATTTAATCAAAGAATATAATACACTTGATAATTTTTTTTATATATTGCACTATCAACCTATTGCTGTATAAAAGGAAGTTTAGTCCATCTTCCTTGAAAACATAATTAAAAGATCAAAATTCCATATTTCAGGACGACAATCAGGCAAGTTCTGGTGATAGATTTGTACCTCCGACACCAGCATATAAAGAAACAAATGATCTTGTTGTCCTAGATAACCCAGAGGAACAGGAGAAGAAATTCCAAGAAAGACAGTTGTATGGATGTCATCCATTAGAGAGCTACTTTGACACTATTTGTGATAATTCCAGTTACAAGGTATTACAAAAGATACATATTAGCTACAGATATGAAAAAAGTTTTACTATTACATGTTCAACCAAAACAATTTATAAAAAGTTAAAATATCTAGTTGGTGGTGATAAAGAAAGAGTAACATATTTTATTGGCAGTAGTTTTTTTCTAGGTTTTCATATTTTTAATCTCTTAGTTATCTGATTTTTTATGGGGGATGGTGTAAGGGGTGTTTCTGAGAAGATTACCATTGACATTGACGAAGTAGACTAGCGTTATTGAATATTGAGAAACAACAAAAGAGGAGAACTGTGTACTGACCTACTTAACTGTCACCGCATGAAAATGTACCTATCAGGAATGGTTCTGAACCTGGTCTATGATTATCTGCAGGTTTATCTCAATGTTTTTATCCTTTAAAGAACTTGATTTAAATAGCAGATCTATGGCGGTCTCTATCAGGTTTATTCACAACTTTTCTAGACCATTGGCAATGTAGAGCTTGACATAAGACTTATATTGAAGACTGTATGTTTACCTTGAAATATCTTTTGTTTTGTTTTGTTGGGTTGCTGTTTTATTGGAGTTTTTTCCATGCATCCTTTTATGAATTCATGTTTTAATGTGCTTTTCCTGGTGTGTTGATATATTTGCCGTTAGAATTATGCATCTTGATGTAAGAGAAAAGAATGGTTAGTCATCTAAGGCCACCCTTAATAAATTCTTTGTTTGATGTTGCCTACCAATGCCTTGTAGGGTTTGGTGGGTAGGTAGGGATTTTAATTTTTTTTTTTTGGCCAACAACATAAGTTACATGTTTAAACAAGAAAAAGTTAGAGCAAGAAAAAATACTTATAAAGAAAAATTTGAAACGATTTGTGTCTTAAAATTTTTCGGATGGCTGCTTTTTAGGTGGGTAGGTAGGCAACATCAAACAATTAATTTTATTTTTGGCCTAACTTGGATATCCTTTGTCAATATAAATGAAAAGAACCTGTAGAAAGTTTATTCATCCTTCCAACAAATCATTAAAACTATTGGACACTTCATCTGAAAAAATCTGTAATAGCAATAGTTTTGTTTGCATGACAAATCAATTATCTGAACTAGAATTTTATGATAGCCAGTTTTGTAAAAAATTGTGTGATATATATTTATTACCTGGAGTGCTTAGTATGATGTTAAAGTGCTGCCTACATCAATAAACATTAATTTTCCATTTTCAAGAAATACCAGCTCGACAGGGTTGCTCTTCATGACAGTAAACGTGCAACTTATGACCACACAAAGAAATGTGCAGAAAATTATGTGATGCTAGGACAAACAGACAGAGCTGTACAGTTATTTTTGGAAACAGAGCCTGACAATGATATCTATTACACTGATTGTTTGAGGTAAATTTTTGCTCCCTCTCCTCCTATTTTGTAATTAAGGTGGTACCAAACACCTTGACTAAAATTAATTTGGCTCGTTTAATTTTCATAAAATTTTGGCAAAATATTAACTTTGACCCTTTGACAAAAATATAAAAATTTCAAAAAACTTGAACCACACTCTTTGTCAGATAAATGTCATTGGATATATAGCAGTTTGACAAACACTAATTTTGATCATTTAGAAGCTTAATATTTCCTTGACAATAGAACATGATTAAAATGTTCAGCTGATTTTTACAGAGTTATCTCCCTGTAGTGTTATGTACCACCTTAATGAATAAGAATATAAAATTGTTGGACAATTGTATCTGTCTGGTTGGCATATTTGATGATAATTGATAAAAATGTTGTTTTCCTGCATCAAGAAGACTTAACAGTAAGGCTTTAATTCTATTTATTAACTCAAAAGGAACTTGCTTTATTTTAACTTCAAGAAATTTAGATTGTTAGGACTTAATTTTGTTTATGTAAATGAATATGAACTTTATATTTATTTTCAGAGCCTGCTTAGTAGCCAGTATTAGATTTTCTGGAGCTTCTCAAAGTACTATAAAATTAGTAGCTACTAATCTGATTGCTAACGGAAAATTGACAGGTAAGAAATTACTATAAATGTGTGTAAAAAGGTTGCTGATCAGTACAATAGAAAAGCATAAGCCAGTAAGCAAGTAAATTATTTAAAAAATAAATGAAAGTTTCTTTTAAAATTGGTATTTAATAGTCTGTTATAGATTGAAAAATAATCTTAACCCAATAAAGTAATCATGAAAATGTGTATTCAATCTTTTTTTTTTGTTCTTTTGATGAATAATCTACCCACACAACAGATTGCAAAAAATAGATTGTGCCATGTCAGAAATTTTTTTCCATGGATCAGAACTGTCTTTTAATATTTTCTCCAAAAAACATGTATAGGGTCAATTATTTGTTCTTGTAAGCAACCTTAAGCATTCCCAGTCATCATTTTGTTAGTATTTCTATTATTTGATTGGTTAATGATATCAATTGTTACTCTTTAATTTGGTTTAGAAAATAGATTAAAAAAAAAGGGGGGGAGAATTAACAACAGGGGGTAGTTGTAATGTAAGACAAAGAGCAGTCCTCAAACACTTCACACAAAACTTAAGATTGAGGGACATGTAAAAATGATTTAATGACACAAACTAAACTTCATTGTCTTAGGATTTGCTGTGAATCACTGTAAAATATAAATTTTAGGTTGTGGGAGTATAACTTTTATTTTATTCTATACCATGTTGTTTCAGAGGGTGTCCAGCTGTTGTGTTTGATAAACAAAGGGTTGGATGCCTGTAGATATCTACAGACTTATAGTGAGTGGGACCTGGCTGTATGGCTTGCTAAGGTATAGTGTGTTTAACCTTATAAGTACTTTATTTTCCACTTACTGAATACTTAGAAAAATTGATTTTATTTTTTTTTAATTTATACATTCTGAAAGTTTATTTTTAGTTTATAATGTGAAAAAAGTACACATGTAAAAAATGTTTAATGACAATGTTTACTTCTGTGTGGTAGTCATTTACATTTTTCCTGACCTCATTATTTACCACAAACAACAAATTTATAATCTAAGAATGAAAAAAATGATTGAAATTGATTGCAGAGATATCTATGCTATTTGAGTTGATTAATTTATGGAAATTGATGGAAATTAAGAGTGTGCTAAAAACATTTTTATACTATGTATTCAATTTATTAAATATTGGTTATTTTGATTACAGTCGACATTGAACTACAGTGAATTTGCAGAAGTGATGAAGAGATGGGTGGATCATTTGTGTAGTCCACATGTCAATCAAAAGGTAGACAAACTAAAAAGAATATTTTAAGATAGGAACTTTTGTATACATCCATATGGCCTGTATGTTTAAATTTAAACATTTTTCATTTGAAACAGTCAACATTTACATGTATGTCTGACATGATTCATATTAAATAGATCTAAATAGGATCATAATGATCTACTATTAAAACATGACAAAGAAACTAACAACAGAAGATATGTGGTCAAAATTTTAAAAACAAAAAACCTACTTTGTTTAAGGTCATTAATGCATCAGTTATGTATATATATATATATATATATATATATACCTGCTAGTCAAATGCATTTTATTAAAATATACTTTTTCACTTTTTTGGTCTTTTGGAAAATGTTGTTTGTGCTGTATTTAGACCCCTCTACCAAGAAATTTGTTTTGCATGCACACGAATAAAAATTGCGGTTTTTATCTAACGCAATCATAGGTTTGAATGTTGTTTTCAATTTAGACTTGTATATATATATATATATATATATAACTCGTCTAAACATCAGCCCAACAATGTAAGATCTGTAAATTTGCTTTCGCAAATTTTTTGTTCTTCCCTCGAACTCATGCTACTGAGATATCGTGACACCAAATTGCCTGCATATATATATATATATCCTTAGTAAATAAATTTTTTTATGAAATGGCTATTTTATCTAAACATCATCTGAAATGTCTGACAAATTAAATACACTTGCAGTCAAGTAAGTGCTATTTCACCGATTTTTTCAGGAAAGGTCAATGAGACAGCTACCCAAACACCACTTATAACTAATATTGTTTTGTACATGTAAACACAAGCTTCTGATCATTTTGAAGGTAGACTGAAAAAGTCAATTGACTGCAAGGTAAGTTTCTGAAAATAACTCTCTTTCTTAGCATTCTGAGAATCATATCTATATTTTCAGAGTAAAGCTGTATTAGTACAGTTGTCCCTGGGACAGTTCAGTAAGGTACTTGAGATGTTGTATGGTATGAGACAGTTTAACAGAGCTGCTTGTTTTGCTGAAGCCTGTACACAGTTTGGACTTCTGGATAAATCAGACGATACAGGTATGTATGTTTACGGTTGAAGTGATGAGACAAAGTTCAAGACAATTTAATGAGAGAAAGTGCCTTTGATAAAATGGTTTTGTTTTGTGTTGTCCCTATGAAATGTAGTTTATGAGAATGTACCAAATATGTATTTACAATATGTAGATTGTTGGTGTGCTATCCCAAGTTGAGAACCATCGTCAGTCATATCTTAATGTTGTTACATTGTATTTGGAGATTTTATTGATGATGGCAGAATTTTAATACATGTAGTTTTTTTCTAATTTACATTTTGTATATGCAATAGACTCAGGGTGATTTAGAACTTGAATTTTTGTGTAGACACTTGTCTGTTGTTGAAGACTATATAGATGTGTTTTGGTTGTTTCAGTCATAAGCTTACAGTCTCATTAATGTATACCCCACATCTATAATTTATATATTTAGGGATCAACCAATAGTCTATAACTGTACATATCTTTTGTTAATCTCGAAACCCGTTATAGTCTAGACAATTTAATAATAATTCAAAAGAGACCACACAGGATCGCTATTAACATCATATTCCTTAATATACAAAACACTTAGGAAAATCAAAACCACTGTATATAGTTGGTTGTGGATGAAATGATATAAAAGACACATGACTATTGATTCAATTACAATTTCAAGAGATCAGATTTTGCAAATGATTATACTAGCCATTAGAGATAAAATCTAACAACAATGACAAAATATTTGTGAAGGCAGTTTAAAGAAAAAAAATAAAATATTTGATTGAATAAAGTGAAACATTTTACATTTAAGAATAAAAATTGGATAATTTATTAAATCTTCATGTCATCCAATGTATGTGTTCTACCAATGTTTAGTAAAATTTCATGGGTGAAAACTGAAAAATAAAAACCCAATGTAGGATTGGCTTTCTTTCAAGAAGATCAAGACTAAGGAGTTACATGCATAAAAATGAAAAATTAATAGATAACATAGGTAATAATGTTTGAATGCTGTATATGAAATGGCATTTACTTGTAGCTTAATTTGTCTTTGTTGTCTTGTAGTGTCTTTGGTAGAAGCAGTATATTTGGAGTATGCTAGATTATTATCCAATCTTGGATATAGACAAGCTGCTGAACACTACTGTCAAAAAGCTGGAGAAAAGGGGGAACAGTTCTTGAAAGAAGTCAAGATTTTATTTACCTGATGAGTTAGATTATCAATTACATAGAATTTGTTGTAAAATCATTGTAGTGGACCAATTGTTAAACAATACATTGCGACAGTGAGACACAGTGAGGTTACAGATGTTTTTATGACTGCTTTCTTTATTTCATTTAAGTTGTGTTTGCAGATACATGAATGTATTTCATGGCTTTGATGCATGCATTTACTAAAAAACATGGAAACTAATAAGTTATCAAAACAGCAAGTGAGATGTTTTAATTCATGAAATTGTTGGTGCAATATTTGTTTTGGTTGTAAATATATTTTAAGGAATTATAAATTCTCCATGTTGAAATTAATTGTTAACTAGTATAAATTTTAAATTATGTAGAAATTATTGATATTGTATCGAATATATTTATTTATTGTTGAAATATACAATTATTCAAATTTGTTTGTTTTTCCATACCCCCATGTGATGCAATAAGGTCTGACCTTACATCTTTCAAACCTTAAGATTCTTTCATACACAAATATTCACTTTCTAGAACCGATTCCATATACGACATATCTGCATGTCTTTTATTGAATGGAACACACAATTTATCCCCTTGACGGAGTCAAAAAACAAGACATAGGTATGCTGTTTCTGACATCAACGGCGGCGGTAACAATTTATTAGTTTTTGATTAAGTCTAGTTTATAGTAGGTGGATGATATTTGGTATGTAGTTGTATTAGCATTGGGATATCTCATTTCCATGGATATTATTTGGCCCAGCCGCCTCCAGTCATGGTCTATTGTCTCTGAAACTTTTCCTTAGTTTACATGTATTAGTTTGTGATTAGGTCAGTTTATAGGGAACCATTAGTGGTAGGTCATTGATAATTGGTATTCAGTTGTATAAGTATTAGCACATCTCATTTCCATGGACAATATTTCGTCCTTACCTATCAGTCATGGTCTATTGACTTTGAAACTTTTGTTTAGTTTACATATATTAGTTTGTGATTAGATCAGTTTAAGATGAACCACTAATGTTAAGTCAATGATATTTGGTATGCAAATGTATTGACATTTGCAAGTCTCATTTCCATGAAGATAATATAGCCCCACTCCCTCATCATGGTAAATTGACTTTGAAACTTTCACATAGTTTAAAGTTAATGTTTGTATTTAGGTTTGTTTAAAGAGAACAACTTATGATAAGTCAATGGTATTTGGTATGCAGTTGTATTAGCATTGGCACATCTCATCTCCATGGAGATTGTTTAGTCATGCATGATTTGACTTTGAATATTTGCATAACTTACATGTTAAAGTATTGCTATTTTAATTTCAACATTTGCATTATCAAAATAACAAAAAGGTGAGACATATCTCTGTGTGAACAGTTTATTAATTATGATTGACTTTTTCTAGTCACCCTCTGAAAGTACATGGTCACCTATATTATACTGTTCTGAAACCTGTTGATATTGTAGTAATCCAAAGGGGACATAACTCTTTTGTGGAAATGATGATGACAATGACAATAACACTTTTCTGGATAAACCTTCATCAGGAATGCTCAACCCCAAACATTTGAAAGACACAGATGTATAAATAATTGGAAAAGTTAGTATGAAAGTGTTTTATAAACATGAAAAATCCTATTTTAATCTTTTCCCAGAGAGAAACTGTCTTTAATGAATGAACCAAGCCTGGCAAGAAAAAAAATAGTTAATGTATATGTAATACCCTACCCAAAAAATATTTAAATGTATATTAGATTTTCAGGGATCTTCTCTATTTGCCAATCACTTTTGTGGACCAGCTCTTTGTTTAGTTGATAGCAATTAGGATTTTATATCCTTCTCTGTATCTACATCCTTGAGAAAGCAAATGTAATTGTAGAATAATGGAATATGAGATTTGAGCATCATCATTGATAATTTTTTGATGTCCTAACTATATGATAATATTTTAATTTTGGATGTAACACTTCTTTTGATTGGCTGAAAGTTTTTTGTCTATCAGCTCATAAACATAATTTTTTCATGTGACTGTCATCAACGTTTTTTCATTATTTACTCCTTAAAAATGGAATTTAGAATAAATTATAAGGAATGACTGTAATATTTTTTCTGTCTATTAGAAATAACCTCAAAAATGTGTTGTACACTTTCAAATACAACACATTTTTGATGTTATTTCTTCATAGACAGAAAAAATATTACAGTCATTCCTTAAATGGAATATGAGAAATAAACATCACCATAGACATATTTTCTCTAATATGCATTGTGATGCTAAGTTTTAAACAATCTGTCAATCGGAAGGCATGATATATGGGTTTTAAAAAATAGTCCTTTATCAACATCACCTAGTTGTTACTCCTCTGGATGGTGGTATCTCATGAATCACCCTGTATGTTTATCTGTATGTTTTCTTTTTGTCTGATGTTTGTTCATCCAAATATTTGTTTGTGATTGTGCAAGTTTGAGGCTCCAGTAGGATACCCCTTATGTCACAAGGTCACATTTAAAAAATGCCTCTGGTAACCAGGCAAAGGCACTTGTCTCTGAAAACAAAAATTATCTAGATGATTTAATATAACACAAGGTACCTAACTCATATTTTTGAGAAATGACACACAGTCGTGAACTTCCGTTATATTTGATTCTGTTGTTGTCTTTCCCACTGAAACTTGTTGTAAAGTCATAAATCTACATTAAATCATCTACAGTATGGTTTATAACACACCTATTTCTGTTTTCTGAATCATTCTTAGCAGTCCTTCCAAGGAGTTCAACCGTAAATTATTTCGTCCTCTCACAGCCAAATGGTGTTGCTAATCTCACAGTGAATGAACAAATATAAAAAGTATTTCCCAAAAATCTGTTAGTTTTTCTATGAACAGAACTAATCATCTGGATAGTAAAGTTGTAAAAGATAGTCATACGTGATAAACAATCAAGTGTTATTTTAGGTATGTCTAATGAGTAACAAGTTTCTTTTTTTAAACTCAAATTTTCCCATTCCACCAATGTCAGACCCTCTCTGGATTTTATATATAAAATTATGATAAATCCAAAAAACATATATCTTTAGCAACAAGATTGACCAATCGGAAACCAAGATATATATAATTAATCATTCACTGCGAGACTTACATTGCCATTTGGCTATGAGAAGATGAAATAATTTACGGCTGACTCACTTGGAAGGCCTAAAATGAAATTTTCTGACAACAGAAATAGGCATGTTATACACATTTTTGTAGATAATTTAATGTAAATTTACGACATAACAAGTGCAGTGGGATGGACAACCGCAGAATTGAAATATAACGGAAGTTCGTGACCGGTTGTCATTTCTCAAAAATATGAGTTGGGTACCTTGTGTTATATTAAAATATATAGATAATTTTTTTCAAAGACAAGTGCCTGTATAAACAGGTCACTTTTAAGCAAACTTTACAGTCCTAAACTGATCTGACTCTCAGTTTTGAACATTGTTAAATTTTGATTTCTGGTCACAAGGCCCCTCAATGATATTTGATATACAGATGTATAAGCATTGTCATATCTCATTTCCATGGTGCGATTGACTCGAATGTTATTTGACTAGGATTGCTATTTTTCCTGCTGAAGGTCGGCGGTACTCTCTGGGCCCACCAATAACAACCGAAGGCCAGGAATTAGCCAATAGTGCTAAAAGTGGCATTAAAACACCATCAACTAATCTTATAAACTTAAGCTATACAAAGAGTTGTGTTTTAATTAAAAGTAATAGCCTTTTTCCATTTAAGAATGTTAATCTACAGTTGACCATGGCAAGACATCTTTATTTGAAACAAGGATTTACATAAACCAGAAACATACATAGCACTATAAACTAAACTTTGCCTTAACTAGGTACATTGTGCTTACCTTAAAGCTAACTAGAACACTCGGCTGTTTGAGTAACTTTTGATTGTATGTTTAAATGAAAAAGAGAGGCGTTCATATTCTTTTGTTAGTTTGCAACTCAACATAATTCATTTTTCAAAACTTCCATATCCAAATACACAGCCTTTTGCAAGAATCAAAGGTCAAGTTCACATACGATTTGTTTCTTTCATACTAAGGTGAATGCAGAAAGGTGATAAAATGTTCAGACATGTGAGACTTAGTTATTGATAGAATGACTGGAATAGGTTTTCTCACTACAATTTCGTTTTTGTCAGACCTGTGACAAATTTCACAGAATGCAAAACAAAATGGATTGTATGCTTGCATGGTCAGCATTAGCTCTATAAATAAAGATTCATATTACAGAAAGAAGAAGACCTGATTAATCCATAGTTGGTATTCATAATCCTTATGGTCTGATATTGTCTTCTGACATATGTCCATTGTCCTGATCTCATTTTCATGCAGGTTAATATCTGTAATAAGACAACTATATTATGTATATAGATTCATTGTAAGATATAGATATAAGATCATATAAGAAGATGTGGTATGAGTGCCAATGAGACAACTCTCCACCTGTCATGTTTGTCAGACCCTGTCCTCTTTTCACGGTTCAGTGTCAACCATAGGTTTGGTGATTATGTCCGTTTTATCTACCAATTTAAGTGATAAGTTATTTTTTTTCGTATATCGAATGATCGTAAGAGGTGATATGTGTACATATCGTCTGACAGGGTTTATATGACCTTGACTTCATTTTCATAGTTCAATGATCAATGTTAAGTTTTTGGTAATAATTAAGGTCCCTTTCTCAACATCTATATTAAGTATACAGAATGATTACAATGTGAACTTGTCCATTCGTCTAGCCTTGACCTCGTTTTCATGGTTCACTGGTCAACTTAGAGTGTTATAATAAGTAATAGATCAACTATATTTTATGGATAACATGATTGTTATGTGAACATGTCTGTAGGGCAGGGTTCATATGACCTTGACCTCATTGTCAATTCGATGGTAAATTTGGTAGAAAGGTCCATAAGTAATAGGTCAACTTATTGAGTGTATAGAATGATTATGAGGTGTACTTGTCCCTCTTACATGGTTCATTTGACCTTGACCCCATTTTCATGGTTAATTTATCAACGCTAAGTTTTCGAGATTAGATCCTCAGATAGTAAAGATATAAAATATTGTGGGTGTATAGAATGATTGTAAGCTAGGTGATGATGTCCATCTGGGGTTCACCTAGACCTCATTCTCTAAGGTGGTCGTAAATTAAAAAAAAAAGTATATGGTGTGTCAGTCCATGACACAAAATCCGTCCGTCCATCCGTCTGAAAACATTCACCTGACCTTAAACACATTCTAATGAAGTATCGACAAGGTTTTGTTTCTGCTATGCTTGTACATTAAATTTTTAGAGACTTTCAACTTAAGATCTTTTCTTATTTAGCTATATATAATAGATGTATAGGTTTGATCTAAGGTTATATTTAGTTCTGCATTCAT